TTCATGTCAAATCGCTGAAAATAATCAATTCTTTGTCATAAAAGTGAAATCACTGAATCAAGACATGGCAGCCAAAGATAAAAAGAAAATTTCAGAAGAATATTACAGATGGCACATTACAGATTTGAATTACAGATTTGCATCTGAACTCTTCAAATGTTGATTACTGTATATATACAGTGCTCAGCATAAATGAGTACACCCCATTTTGAAAATGAATATTTTATTGAGTATTGAATATGGGTAATATATATTGGTGCATTAAAACAAAACAGATTTATTAAACAGATTTAAACAGATTTAATCACAGAACATCTTTAAAAATGAAAAGATAATACAATTAAAGTCATGCAAAAAAAAATTGCAAAAATAAAATTACAAACTACAAAATTTCGACAAAATTGTAAATATTTTCTTTTCTTAATTTTTGCTATATTTGAAAGTTTTATTTAATATTTTTACTTGAATATTTTAAACTAAAGGCGACACGGTAGTGCAGCGGGTAGTGCTCTGGCCTTACAGCAAGAAGGTCGCGGGTTCGAGCCCTGGCTGGGTCAATTGGCATTTCTATGTGGAGTTTGCACGTTCTCCCTGCATTCACATGGATTTCCTCCGAGTGCTCCGGTTTCCCCCACAAGTTTAAAGACATGGTACAGGTGAATTGGGAAGGCTAAATTGTTCACAGTGTAAGTGTGTATGGATGTTTTCCAGTGATGGGTTGCAACTGGAAAGGCATCCACAGCGTAAAAAGGTGCTGGATAAGTTCTTTCCGCTGTGGTGTCCCCAGATTAAAAAAGGGACTTAGTCGAAAAGTAAACGAATTAATATTTTACAACATTTTGCTGTACTAGTTTTTGGACCGTTATCGTAAGTTATTTCGTTATATTAGCTCCAGATTTGGCTTCAGTACTGACTAATCTAATGTATATGCACACATATAATATTGTAAAGCATCCTATAGAAAATATTCATTTGAATGAGAGATATGTGGGGGTGTACTCATATATGCTGAGCACTACATATTCTGGAGAAAGTCTTAAATCTTTTAGTTTGGCTGGAATAAAAACTGTTTAGTCAAAATCAATATTCATTAATAAAGTCAACATTGTTAGCCTGCTTACGATTTTTTTCACTAATTGAGTTACCAAATCAGCCCAACTTGCCTAGTAAAACTAATTAATCGAGTTAAGTCTTTAAATTGCACTTTAAGCTCAATACTAGCATCTTACAAAATAACTAGTAACTATAATATTAACTTAACAAGTAGTATATCATGGACTATGAAATACAAAATAAATTAGTTATTAGTGAATAGTTATTTAAAATATTGTTTAAAATGTGTTTAAAATAATTTCTCTCCATTGAAAAGAACTTAGGGAGAACTGAAATTTTCCCCATAACTGTATTTCCTCAGAAATAACCTCCACAGATAAATCATGAAAAATAAAACCAAAAACGTGTATTGCAAAAGTTCACAAAAGATGTGTTTTTTTCTTTCATGTTGACTGAAAGCCAATCAACAGACAGCTGGTCATACTTGCGCTCACAAATAAAACGCTAGCATAGCCAAAGTAAACTGCTAATCATTTTTTTTTTTTTTTTTCATAAACATGAAAAAATACAGGGTGGTCAACAGAGGCCAGTGAAGAGATTGCTGGCAATCATGACAACCCAACACCCACACGAGATGAGCAAGACTGGACAAGACAACACACAGGAAATGACAAAGCGGCTTAGCAAAGAGCTTATATAAAACATGTTCCTTCACAAAGCCTGTGATGATGGTGACTCAACACAACCAGTCCAGCTTATTACAGACTTCAAACTATAAATCCTTAATTTCTTATTAACCCTCAGAATCAAGGACAATAGCTCTGTTCCAAAATCTAGTGAACTCAGTTTTGAGTTAGCGAAACAAACAACAACATTGTCAAAATAATGCACAGTCACGAGATCTGCAAAAAAATTACTCAAATGCTGTATTATGCATGTCAGGACAGTAGTTGGCGATGTTACTTTGTAAAGATAAAACTATAAACATACACATACAGTTGTTGTTTTGGTTAAGTACTTGCTCATGCCTTTGGACTTAATTAAATGCATGTGACATGATTATTTTAACACAAGCATATTTTTGTAGTTTACACTTTGATGATAACGATACCGTAAAAAAAGGCCCTAAAACACCATTGTTCAAAACATCAGCTAAAACATACACAAAGTTATTATAGGTGCTGTGAAGTTTAAAAGTGCAGTTTTTATTTATTGTTTGACGTAATTACAACTGAAAAATCAAGAGAGGGCAGGACATAGAGTAGCTCCTCCCCTTTAAAAAACAGCCAATCGCACTTTGTTTCGAGAATCGTTGAAATCAAGTGCATCAAATGAAAAGCAAATGAAAAGCGTCTTGAAGGGGGTGGGGCATGTCAGATACTTAAGAGTATTTGATTGGTCTAGATCTGATGAGAAACTAAAGTATGAGGTGACATGAAAAAAACTTTTCATTTATAGGCGAAAGTAACAAACTGCAAGCTTTGGATGTTTATATGAGTTTACATTTCCTAAATGCATACTTTGACTTTGTTAAGGCAAATTATTTCTGGTAATTGTCAAGGCAGAAGTATTTATAAAAACTAGAATACCACAATCTGCTTTTTACTATTTCTGAGCTAAATTTTGTATAAAATCTGCAGTTTTATACAGAAGGATTTTGTAAGGATCATCATAAAAAAATTAAATATGTGAAATAAAGTCTCTCACATAATGTAAAATTTACTAAGGACAGAAAACATTACTTTACAAACTGGACTGTAAATAAATCGAATGAATATTTTCATATTAATCAATGATATTACTGAAATTAAATTTGAATTAAATTTAAAAGCTGAAATGTACATTTACACGTTTACACAATATACTTGTATATACACAAAATACACAAATGAATAAACTCGATGGGAAGGTGCAGTTGCATGTGGGCTTACATAGAGTTGAAGTCAGAATTATTAGCCCCCCTTTGATTTTCTTTCTTTTTAAATATTTCCCAAATGATGTTTAACAGATCAAGGAAATTTTCACAGTATGTCTGATATTTTTTTTTTTCTGGAGAAAGTCTTATTTGTTTTATTTTAGCTAAAATAAAATCAGTTTTACATTTTATTAAAAACATTTTAAGGTCAAAATTTTTAGCCCCTTTAAGCTAATTTTTTTTTGGATAGTCTACAGAACAAACCATGGATTTATTCATGCAAGTTTTACAATAATTTGTTTAATTACCCTAACCTAGAAATGAGTTCCTAAAACAATTATGTTTAGAAATGTGTAGAAAAAACCTTCTCTCCGTTAAACAGAAATTGGGGAAAAAATAAACAGAGGGGCTAAAAATTTAGGAGGGCTAATAATTCTGACTTCAACTGTAAGTAACTATTTTAAACAATATACATAAGTCGTTGCACACAAATACTTCTTAACTGTCAATAATTTCTCATCTGATTTCTACTTTACTTTAGCATGTTGCTAAACTAACAGTGAAGCATTCTCTGGATTCTCTGGAAATCTGGATTAATTGAACATTTTAACTCGATTACAATTAATGAACAATTATTTTATTTATGTATTTTTTTTCCAGTGACAGGTTTTATTATATTCATCTTACAGGTGAAAGATAAAGAGGGCATTACTTGATTTTAAAATAATTTAAGGAAACAAACTATCTACAAATCTATTTAAAATATATGAATATTTATTGAACATCAACGTTGAACAACTGAAATTAAAACACGCATTGCCTGAAACAAACAGTCAAATTTTTAAATAAAGAAAAATTAAATAAATAACATGTAAAATTATTTTTAATGTTTTTCATATTAATAGTAAAAATGAGCATTATCTCTTCTAAATAAAATAATTTGTGTATATTCTGTAAATATTATTTTAAGGAGCAATTTTTTTGCATCTTCTGTAAACAAATATTTTAAAGCAAATAATAATTTTAATGTAATGGAAAATGTGCCATCTTAAGGCATCTTACTTCCAATCATCGTCAATATAGTGCAAAGTAAGCCTCAAAAATGAGTCCACCGTCTGGAACCAACACTTTTTTCATAAGGTAAACCCAAAACAAGTTTCCATATGGAGCTCCTTAGTGGGACTCGACACTTGTAAACACTCGCTTTAACGGACTCTCCCACGACTCTCCACGCTGCCCACACTTGTCACCGCTACCAATAACAGAGCTTGCACTACGCGTCGTCGCGACATGTAGTTAACAGAGCAAGATCACGTGACTCTACATGTGTTAAGGAAAGTAATTTTTAAAATTGACCTAGAAAAATGTTATCAATTATACGTTCTGAATGTCGATTTCGATTGCTTCTTGATTAATCGCCCACCCATGACACCAAGTAATCAATTTGTTGTTGTTGATGTTATCTAAATTGTAATAAAAACTCATTAAACTATTAGCATATTCATAATCATCTTTTCTTAATCCACCATCTTGGATTTATATATCACTGAACACACTGCATTGCACTTTGGCATTATGCTTTATCTACAAAGAACAAATGTGGTGCTTCCTTAGAAATAGGTTAAAAGGAGATATCAGAGGCAGCATAATTCATTTACCTAAACTTTGCAAGAGCTTTAGCATCGGCCGCGCATCTATGGTGCCTTATAAAGCAGCCTCTAGGCAGCTCGCTAGCTTGAGGAACAGAGCAAATGTAAGGCAATTTTTGGAGCTCATCCATCATCACTTTTCTGTCAGGAACTGTTGCAATAGCGTTGCAATTTCACCACCATGCAAGTCTTTTTCACATATCAACAATTGCAGATAGCATCACGAACTGAAGAACTTCAGGAAATCGAAACACCAGACGGCTGATTAGCAAACGTCTCCAACATACAGTATATGCAGTAATATACAGACAACACCAGAACCGTTTCTGGAAACACTAGAGTCTAAGTGGCCCGTTACTATACCTGACCTTCTGAATTCATACCTGATAAATCCTCTTTTGTTGCTCCTGCAGACAAAAAGAATTGTATGCATGAAACAGCCAGAGGCAGGTTCACCATTCAACTAGCTGTCTGTCTGTCTTTCTGTCTCACTGCCTGTCTGTCTGTCTGCCAGTCTGTCTGATGAACATGTTACTCGTCTAGCTCCTGGTTTCTGGTTACTCTTCTAGGTTCCTGGGTTTTGATGTTACCTGCTCTCCTTCGGTGAAGACTCGAGTGCCGAAGCTCCATGTAATGGTGGGTGTGGGGTCTCCAGTGGCTTCGCATGTTAATGTGACCTGCTCGTCCATTTCTGTGGTCGTCTGGCTTTCCAAGTATGTGATTTTGGGTTGTACTGAGAGAACAAAACAGACAAGGTTAGATCACTGAGACTTTCTGTCATTGTTTACATAATCCAAACCTACAGTTATTAGCCCTCTGGAATTATTAGCTCCCATGTATATATATATATATATATATATATATATATATATATATATATATATATATATATATATATATATATATATATATTTTTTTTTTTTTTTTTTAACCCAATTTTTGTTTATTGCAAAAAATAATAATAATAATAATAATTTCCCCATTTCTAAACATCATAGTTTTAATAACTAACTTCTAAGAACTAATTTCTATTATATTTGCCATGATGACAGGACATAATATTTTACTTGATATTTTCTAGATACTAGTATTCAGCTTGAAGTGACATTTAAAGGCTTAACTAGGTTAATTAGGTTAACGAGGCAAGTTAGGGTAATTAGGCAAGTCATAGTATAGTGATGGCTTGTTCTGAAGACAATTGAGGAAAAATATTACTTAATAATATAAAAACATTAAAATGCTCAATTAACACTTTTATTCTAGCCAAAATAAAACAAATAAGACTTTCTCCAGAAGAAAAAAATATTATAGGAAATACTGTGAAAAATTCCTTGCTCTGTTAATCATCATTTGGGAAATAATTTTGGGCTAATAATTTTGACTTCTACCGTGTATTACTTATTTCTTATATGAAACTCAAAAGAGATATTTTGCAGAGATAATTTATATATATGGCATGCAAAGCTACATCAGAAAATGTTCCTCTGCCAGTTTTGGCAAACCTCCCCAAAATAAATAGGTTTTCTATTACAGATTGTTGTTTTTGTTTTGAGGACTTTGAGTATAATCAAACATCCACTATGTTGTCATTATTTGACCTTCCTTGTTTACTGTTTTTGTTTTTGAAAGTTTATTTGATTCAGAGTATGTTTACTAAAAACTGTTTCAAATAAATTTGACATTTGTTATTCGATTTTAGTAATTAATTTGAACAATAGCCTCTTTTCCACTATCTGCCAAACCATTTTTAGGGTGCTTTTACATCTGTAGATAGATTGTTGTGTTCTGATACAGGGATTAAAATTGTTAGAAGGTTGCTTTTATTCTTGGTAAGGTTCACTTTAACACAGCAAAGTTTCTAAATGCACCAAAATATAGCTTAAACAAGTCACATACAAGTCAACTCTCCTCAGATTGGTCAGAGGTCCATGGTTTATTTTTCAGAGTCCCGCTCAGCTGTCATGCATCCTTATTTTAATTTATGACAATGAGCAATAAGACATTATAAGCAGAAAGCTGTGCTTTAATTTTGAATGGTGACACCCACAGACACTTTAGGCTTTACATTATATAGGGAAATAACAGATAAACAAAGACTGCAGTCAATTTTCTTAACGGATAAACAGCTCTCGTTAACAGTTCAGCATTCTTTCATTTTCATAATCGACATGAAACGCACATTTACCAAAGAGAATGACATCCCACCCTACTCATGATTCTTTCTTCATATAGTCATATATGTCTATTACATTTTCATAATACACTGTGAAATAGCCTGGTTTGTTAGTTCGTTGAATCTTATTGCTTTCTCACTACAATCAATCCGCTCCAGAGTTCATTTCAATTGAGCCAAGACCATCTCATTCAGGCGATCTTGGGCCATTTGTTTTGGCATAGATCAGAGTATGATTGTTAGATTAACATATGCCAAACGAACCCCACTAAGGAGGCAAACGCACCACATTTCGAAACAAATGTCTAGGTGTGAATGCTCCCTCAGAATAGTCAGGTTACTCAGGTATGCTTCCAGTTGTATTTCCATGTGGCTCTGGAACGGTTTGGCATGATTACAAATCACTTTTGGGCTAGAATTCTTAACAGAAGCACATTACTTTTTTCTGTTATTTAAGTAACTATAAAAAAAGAAGTCCAAAAAATATCAGAAAAATATCTGACCTTTGTCCATATAGCTGTTTACATTACATTAGCATTGCCAAGGCAGCGACTGACGCATTTGTATTACATTCCAAATAGTTCTGCTATCATCAGCCCCACTCTAGAATATAAAACCACTTCCATGCTCATTTCACCCGATCGGCATGGAATGGAACAGACTGATAGTGGAAAAGATGCCAATGTTGTGTATATCAAAAAAGCATTAAAAGTAAAAGCAGGTTTCAAGGAAAAAGTTTTTTTAAACGTTATCGTTATTGGGTCTGTGTGTCTACAGGAATGTGATTTTGTCAAACATTATGCTGTTAGGAATAAACCAGTACTAAACCAAAACAACAAACGGCAGAGTACAGGACTGTATGAGTGTAGACAAGTGTTTCTTTCTAAATTGATATCGCCACCTTCTGGCCTGGCATAAATAGAACAGTTTTATTTATTTATTTATGTATTTATTTATTTATGTATTTATTTATTTATTTGTAATTTTTATGAATTTATATAAATGAGGAACATATTTATGTGTATGCAACATTTTCATGAGTTATGTAAATGTACCCTGATTATGAAAGTTTAATGTTCAATAGATGTTTTAAAACTTTCCCATGTGAAAGTGTTTTTTAAAACACCTCACAGAGAAAAAAAAAACAGTTAGTATATTATTCTTTAAGGTATAAAAACGATATGTTCATGCAGCCACACATTGTTCCCTGCAGAATAAAACTTTGTTTTTTTTTCCATTGCTGGATTTTTAGCATCAAATATAAAAGAGTACTGTCAAACCTCCAGACTCCGGTGAGACTCTCTTGAATTCTTACCAAAGACTTTAAGGCTAAGTTCTTGTTCGCTCTCCCCAGCTTTGTTCTTAGCAATGCATGTGTAATCTCCCTCGTCCAGCTTTGTCACATCTAGTACTGTCATCTCTGAGCCGTCTTCATTGAAGCTGTATTTGTTTCCGCTCTCCAGTGGAGCATTGTTCCTGAGAGGAAAGAAAGTACTAACATTTAAAACAATATAGCATTAGGGAAGACAAATCTGAACATTTCTCTTCAAAGAGTCTGATCTAAAAGGCAAAACGCGTTGGAAGAATGAGTTACAGTTGTTAACTACTGTATCAGGAAAACTGATATGCTGACCATTTGAATTATATTTATTCATTTATTCATTCATTTTCTTGTCGGCTTAGTCCCTTTATTAATCCAGGATCGCCACAGCAGAATGAACCGCCTACCCAATTAACCTGTACCGCATGTCTTTGGACTGTGGGGGAAACCGGAGCACCCAGAGGAAACCCACGTGAAGGCAGGGAGAACATGCAAACTCCACACACTGAGCCGAGGTTCGAACCAGCGACCCAGTGACCTCCTTGCTGTGATGCGACAGCACTACCTACTGTGCCAATGCCTCGCCAATTATATTTATATTGTAAAAAAATTAATAAATATATGAACATAATATCTAGTTTGAAAACAAATAATAATGTTCATGATAACAATAGTAATATACATTTAATAAAATTATAATGTTTATTAGTTTCAGCTATAAATAATGTATATTTTTCATTCATTCATTTTCTTTTCGGCTTAGTCTATTTATTAATCTGGGGTTGCCACAGCGAAATGAACCGCCAACTTACCCAGCATATGTTTTATGCAGTGGATGCCCTTTCAGCTGCAACTCAACACTGGGAAACATTCATACACTCTCATTATTATTATTATTATTATTATTACTATTATGAACTTGACTTTTTAAATAGAATATTTGAACTAACCCGCATTTCTGAAGTTTTCTGAACAATTCTAAATTCAGAAAAACACATTTTGCAACATTCACTAAACAAGTTTATAAAACCGCTGAAAAAAAACTGTAGAAAGCAAACCGGAAACACTGTCAGCTAACCTGTGTGTCAGAGCTGCGTGTCTTCCTTTCTACCTTTATTTGCCCCTCTATTAGTGATCTTTGTCCAGACGCTCTTGAATTCATTGGATTCCTGACATGGTGGCGATCGCTTGATTTAAGGTCAAACAGGTAATAAATATACCATAACCCTTGTCAGAGAAGAGGACCTGAGTTATTTTGAGACAAATAAACACCTCCTCCTCCCCATCCCCCCCAAACACGAGTGAACAAAAGATCCTTCAGGCGTGCTGTATCATCCCGAGGGATTTGTGTCTCTCCGAAAGCAGAAAGACAGTTCGAACTCCCGCTGAGAACACAACAGCAGCTGAGGAGAGACTCGTACTTGTGGTGTACTAATGGTGTGTTCTTCTATTCTATGTCATCCATAGAAGTTCTTTATTTATTCAGAGGCCTATTCGTCTGGCTTTGAACGCCTAATAAAAAACACACATGAGGAGGTGCAGCAAAACCCACTGTACAGTAGTGTTTTGTTTCTGCTAGGTTGATTTTGGAGGAAGATCTCTGGCTTACCGTCTCCAGGTCACTATGGGCTCAGGGAATCCATCAGGATCACAGGCCAGAAGAGTTGAGAAACCCATGTCGGCAGTGGCGTTCGTTTCCGCTTGACGGATCCTTATAGTGGGTAGAACTGAGAAGAAAAGAAAATTGCAGGTTTTAAATGTGGAGCTGAATAAACTGCTTTCTTACCTCTCTACACTCATACTTTTTTTTTACTAAAAGTAAAACACTTAAAGGGGCTACATGTAAAAATCTGTATGCCCTAATTACATTTTTATAGCCAATGTGAGAGCAGCTTGTGATGAAACTTCAACAGACTTGAAACTAAATTAGAAACAAATACTTAACACAGTGTTCAAGATAATTTTGTACTATAACAACAACAGTCTGAAATAACTGGATCTATATACAGCATGCACTTTATAATTTAACAATTATAGCAGTATTAATTTAATTAGATCTGTCAGCAACATACTGTCAATTAACTGCAGAGCTTGTGCAAACAAATCTGAATAGCTATGATCTTAACTGCTGTTCACCGCTGGGAGTTTTTGGTTGCGTTTATTTTAGAATTGTAATATTTTGACACACAATTCATTGGACTATAGTTTCAGATCTCAAAATAGCAAACCCAGAGATTGTCCTTTTCACTCTCCTGTCGTTGTAAGGCAAGGCAAGGAAAGCCAAGATTATTTATATAGCACATTTCATACACAATGATAAAAAGGAAAATAATTAAAAGCATGAAAAATGATTAGAAACAGATTAAAATGTGTTAAAACAGGATATAAAAGAATGAAAAAGAAAAGAAAGACAGGGTACATTAGTGTACATTACAGTACATTAGGAGTACATTAGTGTACATAGAGTTTGAGCATGCAAAATTCAGTTGGCTGGTTCTGTGAAAAGGGGCGGGATTACACAATATGATGTCATGCTAATAAAATGAGTAATTGCTCCATATTTTCAATTTCTGTACAGAAAGGCCATGTTTAGATTTTTTTATTCCTCTCATTTCCAGTCAATGGAACAAAAAGTGTAACATGACCATGCCTTTACACTGTTAGCAAGCGCTCACTTTTGAAACCCAAGCTCATTCTGGAAACGTAGCCCTGCGGACGTTTCTGGAGACCGCAATTTACGTGACCGGAGGTACGTGTGGCCGCGTTTTGTTTTTTTATCGAGTGAACGCTGCGGGGCGGTGTGACGCCGCTCCGCTCCTCCTCTTCGCGCTCGCCGACTGACGGCTCACCTTTGTGTGGAGGGCTTTCCTGCCTCAACCAGTTTGTCCGCTTAGCTCGTAGCGTTACGTCGGCGGAGCGGAGGCCTAGAGGGAGAAGGAGCCGGCCACGGCGATGTCCGGGGAAGAGCGGTTCCAGAAATCAGGTAAGATGAAAAACAGAATCCAAAAAAATAAAAGCAAACGAGTTCGCGACGGGGCGAGATCCGAAAACGCGGTCAAAATCGGACGAGGGCTTTTGCTTTTTTTTCTGGAAGGCTTTTGCAAATCGTCGCTTGGGTTTAGGTAAGGAGGAGGAGGAGGAGGAGTACCGCCCAGTCGATCGTTCAGTCGTTCAGCCAGTCAGTTGGACGGACGGTCGCTCTACAGCAGCCTCCAGCGGCTTTTCACGCGAGAACAGCGCGGGCGCAAATGGTGCGCGCTCCCGAGAGGCATCCGAGACGCGAAAAAGCGTGCACATCGGCCTCTCGCGGATTTGCAAAAACAAAAGCTGCTCGAATACGTACCTCCCGGGACGTATTTTGCAGCCTCCAGAAACGTTTGCGGGGCTACGTTTCCACAATGAGCCCGGGTTGCACTTTTGGGGATTTACACCTTGACCACAATGAACTACAAACAAAAAAATGGTATCATTGGAAAAAGACACTTTGGTCTCTGTTTTTAGTCACAAAGTCTAAAGTGCATGGTGCAAAAGCATTAAGGGCGTGTCTAACAGGGTTAACAGGGTCTAACAGGGTTGTACCTATTCTCTTAATGAGTTATGGGTGTGTTTTGAGTATAACGTGCATTAAACTAATGAGAGCATCTCACATTCCCTTTCAGTTCCAATGCACCATGGCACATTTGTATTTACATGGCGGACTTTGTAAAAGGAAAAACTGAAGGCTTTTACTAGTGAGAAAAGTTAAACAGACCATCTGCAATGCAAGGATGAAGAACGATCCATTTGGCCTCTTTACTTTCTTTTTACTTTTACTATTTACTTTCGTGGAGTAAGGGAAAGGTGTTGTAAGCACTCCACTGAAAACATCCATTAGCCTACATATTTAAATTAGCTTGTTAAGCACAAAGATTTGTTTCAAAACTATTTCTAAATTCAATTTTAATTTCTAGCAAACAAATAAATTAATGAATAACAGAGTGTGGTCAAAAAGCGGAGTTATATCCACAAACACATCCTTTTCTTTTGCCCCATATGGTAATGCAGACGCCAAGTGTATAATAGGGCCCTTTGAGCATTACTATGGCCACTAGACTCACTATGGTCACTATGGTTTATTTTAAAGTTTCATGCTCAAAAACATAAAAGTCATACATTATAAAAAAATATATATATATAGAAAAAAGTCATCTGTGTCTCAACAAAAGATTCAGAATTCTGCATACTTTAAATAAATATATAAATATATATTGTACATACTGTATATATAAATACATACTGTATCTACTTTTTAATCTAATCTGAGCTTAAGGCAACAATGTACTGTTATGAAATAAACTAATATATAAGCAACATTTGAATGCTATTTATTTCACACATTGAAAATCAAAAGAGTTTTAATTAAATGCAGTTTAATTAGGTATCAAGTTTTATATATGTGTATAAATTCACTTTCTGCCTTCAGGGAACTATGTACCATTACAAAACAAGAAAATGTTTCACACGTTACTGAATTTTAAATGCCAGGATGTGAACCTCTCTTAAAATACCAATATAAACATGCACCTAATGAAAAAAAAAAGAAGTATACTACCTACAGAACACATTTGACTCAATTGGGTTACAGTGTTCCCTCAAGCCTTAAAATGCACAGTTTCATACATTTATCATTACATTTATGTGAAACACATCTTTACTCTTTTACAAATGAGAATCAAATACCGATTTTGATGAAAAAGACAGTAACTCTTCTCAAAGGTTCACTTTGATCATATACAAAAAGAAAATATGGCACTGCAGCACATCTAACACCTGCTGATAAAGGCTGCCAATGGATAATATAACCTTTTTTAGGTTCTGTCTGCAGATATTTAGCCCTCCTCTTTTGACAAAAAGCCACTCACAGATTGCAGCTATGGCCCGCACTGTGGTCACTCAAGCAGGACTAAACATCAACATAAAGATAACCCATTACGGATTCAAATTAGACTCATACAAGAAAAAACAAACGCAAACACAGACATAAGAGGTGAAATTATATTACCGGGTTTACCGCAGGAAGGAAATAGGCAAATAAGAATGAAATCAAAAAGGAGATGAGATGAAAATGTCTGTGGAGCAGCTTGACAACAGCTACTTCAAAAACTGTCTGATCCTCAACACAAAACACTGAGCTTTATACTCCACCTCAACAAAAACACAGCTGCTGATCAAATACCCAGCTCAGAATCATGATATCTTGTTTTAGCTAATCAAAAGAGCTTTTATTAACTGGTTAATGCTATGCTAAACAAGTAGCCTAAGCTTTAAAACACTTTCTTTTCGCTAGTTAGCTCTATCCAAAGCTGTTAGCATGCAAACATACAAACCAGAGGGAAATGTTTATTTAACTAACTAAGCCAAGGGTGCTCAAACTTGGTCCTGGAGGGTCGGTGTCCTGGAGAGTTTAGCTCCAACCCTAATCAAACACTTCTGAATCAGCTAATTGACCTTAAAATACTAGAAACTTCCAGGCAGGCATGTTGAAGCAAGTTGTAGCAGGACGCCTGCCCTCCAAGACCAAGTTTGGGCACCCCTAAACTAAGCAATCTGTGTTTGCGAAGGCCCTGTTTACACTAATACATTTTAGTTTTAAAACGCATAACTTTTGCTACGATTAGCTTTTTGCTATGATTTGCCTTCCGTCCACACTACCCCAGAGTTTTCAAGCCCTGACAATGGAGCGTTTTGAAAACGCTGAAGAGGCCATTTTGGTTTTGGTTTGCTGCTCCGTGTCAGTGTGGATGGGGGAAAATGAATATATCTGAAAATGGAGGCGTGGTCGCAGACATTCGCTAACCTGAATGGGATTTTTATCAATATTAAGTGCACAAAGTTTAGGGTTTAATTCTTTCCTTGTAAGTTCAGACTTCACAAGTTTGATATGGAAAACAAACTCCCGAGGACACGTCGGGTAAATCTTCAAAGGGGACAGTGTACATCATTCACATAACCCTGGCTACATTGTTTCACTTTCTTAACAATAAAATTAAAACATGATATAAGGAACAGCCTATTTTCATTTTGATATCAACAACTTAACATATAGCAAAATGTTGAGGCGTCGTGTAGCTACATATTTTTATGACCATCATCTTTATGCATATTTATGACAAAACGGACCCTATGACATAACTGCTTCCTTTCATTTTCATTGAATATCAAAAGTTTTAATCATCAATAATTGCAATAAATAATAAAATAAGTTTATGCAATATAGGAAATAAAAGCAAGCAGCCAGTCTAATGTGCAGAATTGGTGTATATGGTTACATAAATTAATATATTAACTTTTCTTTGCGCTCAGCCAAAACATGTTAACTGAGCATAAATAATAGATTCAAAAGACAGAACAGTTGTTAGATAAAGAGAATATGAATTAAATATCACATTTAACAACTATAGGTGGTTCATTCCGCTGTGGCGACCCCGATGAATGAATGAATTTACAACTATAGTGAGGTAGATCCTTGATGAGCTCTCCTTGGTAGAGCTCTCACCTGGGCAGTTGTCCTTAACGCACCCGCTGACTGCCTGGGCTTAGATGTCCATATACGCTGAAGAGCATGCCAGGGTGTGTGTGTGATCACGGGATGTGCGTTTTCAGTGGTATAGTGTGGATAGAGATCTTTTCAGAAACGCTAGGTGAAACGCCAGTGTGGATGTGGATTGTTTTCATTCTAAAAACACTGCTTTAAAACTGAAACGTATTAGTGTAAAAGGGGTCTAAGTAACTTGTAAAAAAATATAAATGGCTAATTATATCATTCAAATCATTCAATTATTTCAAATTATTTTAAATTTGAGTGAAACAGGATATTTTATCATTGAAAAAAAGCTTACAATTTAAACAATGTACACACACACACACATACACACACACACACACACACACACACACACACACACACACACACACACACACACACACACACACACATATATATATATATATATATATATATATATATATATATATATATATATATAATGTTTCAAATTAATAAATATAACTAGTCAGGAAATTATATATTAATTTGCTTATCTGAATTGATTTATACAGAACTGTTCCATTTATTTACACTATTTAAGCATATTAAATATAAATAAGTATTATTGTACATATTAAGAATATTATATGCAATTGTAATTAAATGGCCTAAAAATTAAAAGCAATTCATTCATTCATTTATTTTCTTGTCGGCTTAGTCCCTTTATTAATCCGGGGTCACCACAGCGTAATGAACCGCCAACTTATCCAGCACATTTTTATGCAGCGGATGACCTTCCAGCCACAACCCATCTCTGGGAAACATCCACATTAACACACACACTTATACACTATGGACAATTTAGCCTACTCAATTCACCTGTACAGCATGTCTTTGGACTGTGGGGGAAACCGGAGCAGGGAGAACAGGCAAACTCCACACAGAAACGCCAACTGAGCCGGGGCTCAAACCAGCGACCTTCTTGGTGAGAGGCGACAGCACTACCTACTGCGCCAATGCGTCGCCTATAGAACTGCTTTGCCGAAACCAAGGGGCAAACCAGGGACCCTTAGATCTTCAATCGAATGCTTTCCCATCTGAGCTATTTTGGCTGCCATGCTATCTTACATAGTATTTTTTTTCTGTAGAAAAGTAATTCAATTACCCATTATCTGTTTACTTTAATTACAGTATCTAGTAACTAATTATTAGCTATTTAGTTGTTTCTTGATTAACTGATAGATTGCCATAAACTATTCAGTGTACCACAGCGATGAACAGCTCTAAAAAGACCCTACTTTTTACCACTGCAAAAGACATTTCAAATATAACATTTTTTTTCCACTATAAAGTACATTTAATCATTTGACAATGTTGTCTGAATGTTAAACGCTGTTAATTGAACCACTGAATGCATTAAATAAACTATTTTTAAGGCTTTTTAATAACATATTTATATATATATATATATATATATATATATATATATTTGGATAAATGGCTAAAAACATTGCATATAAGTCATTTGAGACAGCATGGAAACAGTGGAATAGCTCTTGATTATTAGTTTCTGCTGGGATCTGAAATGTCCACATTTTGAGCCCTACAGGTACAATAAAGCGAACAAGAGCTCACCGTTCACAACCACTTTAATGCTGCGGAAGTCAACCTCTCCACGGGCTTTAATACGACCCTCACAAGTGTACACTCCCTCGTCAGTCTTCCTGATCCCTCGGATTTGGAGATGGTTGTTACTCAAAGTCTTGAAACGAACTGTAGAACAGAACAAGGGCGAATTGATTTTGTGCGGGATTGAACAGATGTCTGCAAATTGCGCATTAAAATCATATGCAGATTTAACAAGTATTTCATCTGTTATCACAAGGATTAATAAAGAGCCGCATTTGCCAGGAACAAGCATTAATGATCTCATCAATTTATTAAAGCATGAAAACAGAGCAAATTAATCACTCTTATTTGATGTGAATGACTTACCATCTTTATCAAACTGGATCTTAGCACCTTTATATTTCCAGAGGACTGTGGGTGGAGGTGAGCTTATGACATCACACACGATAATGGCGTTGTCCCCTTCGGTGAACTCTTGAGGTGATGGGACATTTGTGAAGGTAATTTTTTCTGGGGGGGAAAACAGCAGCAATTTAGCTGCAACTTCAATTTATCATGCAATCATTCCTTTTTTCTTTGTATTGTTGTTGTCTACAGCAAGATAACAAGTCATCATCTAAAATGAAGTCTCCTCAGAAGCATCATCAAAGGTTGTTTTGTACACTCTCATTTTTTCATGAATATTTTCTTATTTCCTGCTGCAACCAGCTTCAGAAATGATATTGTTTTGTGTAGAGACAATCTTTGGCCCTTAAATGAAATGAACGGATTATAATTAATTTATTAATGAATTTAATGTTTTCTTTACCATTAAAACTTTACAATTAACAAATTACTTCAATACAAAATTCAAAATAGTTAAAAAATCTGTTTAAACATGTATATTTGACTTTTTTTAAAGGTAAGGGCTATTAATAGTATGATAATGATTACTGATTAGTAGAATACACATTTATTATTATTATTATTATTATTATTATTAATAATAATAATAATAATAATAATAATACTATATGTCTACACTAACAAAATATGCCAGTCAATGATGTTAGTCTGATCCTAGTTATACAATAAATCCCATTGTAATCATTGACTGAAATTAGGGAATAAGTCTCATACTTGCATTGCTTCAAACAAAAATTTATCATGAAATATAATTAAACTTTTTTATTCCTTTTCTGAATACTATCAAAATACTTGTATAATTTTATTTGTAAAAGCTCCATATGTTTATAATCTACATTATTTCTAAATGTATCAATAAAACGTTTACACTAGCACAATTTATCAATGCCATTTCATGAGGTGTTGTCATGAAAATAAAGCAAGCAGAAATGTAAGTGCTTATTTAAGCTGTCAAAGAGAAATTAAGATGGAGAGCTCACAATCAGCACCATCGATATTCAGTCTTACTAACTATAGGACCAAATGTCATTCTTTAGTGCCATACAAATCCATAGTATGGTATTTGTTGTATAGTCACTGTATATTTTATTAGTACAGTATCGTTGCTCTACTGTATTTCTCAATGTTTGTGACTAGGGTATCACGATATTGGAAAAATCAACATTGCGATATTTAATATTTCTGCGATATATATTGCGATACGAATACTATTTTAGCTGATGAGATTGGGATAATTTTGTAGTGGAATGAATTAAACAGATTGCATGGATGAAGAAAACAGACCAAAGATAAAAGTGAAACAAGCAGTGCTTTGTGTTTTTCCGAAGAGTCAAACAGTAGTCAGATATTCAGGTACAGTAATTGAATAATCAAATGTGATGTAAAATAACACTCTACATTCTTCATTGATGGCCAACTTTAATCCCAACTCAACATTGCAGATCCTGCGATGTGACTATTCCGAATGCACACATTGGGATCATTGCTGAAGCCATATATTGTGCAGTCCTATTTATTACCAGTTTATTATGTTTTTAGTAGACAGACTTTCTTACTACGTATCAAAAATGATGAATATTAGAATTTTAAATTGTCGACCTTTTAAATAGACCTATTAATTTCATCTGGTAAAATTATTCTCCATGCCACAATATTGTGGAAAAATTAATCATCACAATGTCAGTTTTTTTCCAATATCGTGCAAACCAGCATCTTACGGTATATCTTCAGATTGACAGTGGCTTCTGCATCCTGATCGCCACTGCTGGCCACACATCTGTATGTTCCAGCATTGTCGACCTTTGCGTTGTAGATGGTAAGAGTGGAGGACGTCTCGTCGTTGCGAATCACACTGATGTCCGGTCGACCAGGCTCAATTTTCTCCCCAGCTGGAGCAAACCAATCGATTTCCTTGGCCCCACCAATAACTACAATAAAAAACAAAACAAATGAACATCTCAGCATCCATGAGCAGATCGTGTGTATCAAATGTGTCATTAAATAAATCATTCTGTTTGAAGTAAAGCTGCTGTAACATCCACACAGAGATGAATCAATCAAAAGCGAATCAGGCCTGACGCGGGTGAATTGGTTGCTCGAATCGGTTGGGATTATGTGTCGCTGGCACAACAGCTGTCAGAAGGCACAACCTAAAACTTCAACCGATTCTCAGGTTACCAGTCTATTACCCAAATCAGCGGACCGTAGGACACGGCACTGGTGAAGACTCAAATGTTGAGAGCTATTATCAGAGTCGTCGTTCCACGCCTTTGCCTCTTCAAATGAAGCCCAGGAGAGTGTAACGGGTTTTCAAACTGAGATATAAGGCACACAAAGGTTAAACATATTCCACTTGTATGACTTATTCACATGGGTCTCGTTTACTGTCATATTTTGGTGACATCGGACACCATCGGCGACATGAAAGTTGAACTCAGACTGGAGTACTGTTTCAGTCAATGAATCCTCTAGAAGATTATTGTTTTTTTAGGTCACACAAAACGTGAAAAACCAAACCTCCATTTAACCTTTTTGAACCAGTCATTAGGTTACTAAAACAGTGTATTAGAATGTTTTTATTGCACAATAAGACTGCACAGTTAATGAAAAAATCATGTCAGCAAATAAGCAATGACTCCAATAGATAGATCGATTCTTTATTCTTCTACTTTATAATCATATACTTGAGTGTTCATTCACACCGAAAGCGGGGACAGCGTCAAAGCAGCTGCAAGTCATTTATTTTCAATGCAAACCAGCGGTGATAAGTGGCAATGAGTTTGCATGAGCATTTAAAACAAATGAACAAACGTAAATATCATCCGCTCGCTTTTTAAATGAGTTGTTAAATGCCTATGACTGGTCACACCCTCAACAGAAAGGGCTGCGATTGGCTCTATTGCACTGGTGCTGTTCACCGATAAGTGTCTGCTGTCCAGCAAACACATGCAGTATCCCCTCCCTCGCCATAGTATTGCACCACGTCATAGCTCATATGAGATAAATGACGTCAGTACATAATAACCGGTTAAGATCTATTACCGAGCTGATACTGAATTGTCCGCGTCTACATTTCGGTGCACCAAATAATTTTGACGCCCCTAATATACAATTAGAATTATGAAGAATTATAATAGAAGTCAGAATTATGAGCCCCCTTGAATTATTAGGCCCCTGTTTATTTTTCCCCCAATTTCTGTTTAATGGAGAGAAGATTTTTTCAACCCATTTCTAAACATAATACTTTTAATAACTAATTTCTTATAACTGAATAATTTACTCTTTGCCATAAAGACAGTAAATAATATTTGACTTGATATTTTTCAAGACACTTCTATACAGCTTAAAGTGACATTTAAAGGGTGAAACAGGGTAATTAGGTTAACAAGGTAAGTTAGGGTAATTAGGCAAGTTATTGTATGTCGATGGTTTGTTCTGTAGACTATCAAAAAAATAAATAGCTTAAAGGGGCTAATCATTTTCTCCTTAAAATGGTGCTCAAAAAATTAAAAACTGCTTTTTATTCTAGCCAAAATAAAGCAGTTAAACATCATTTGGGAAATATTTAAAAAAGGAAAAAAAATCAAAGGGGAGCTAATACTTCTGACTTCAACTGTATATATGGACACATATTGGATAAGTGGAGCAAAGCCACACAACATGAAACAACTTGATCTTCCATAGTTAAATGAATTTGATAAAAAGTGTGTAACCTTTTCACGCAAGAAAGCATGTTTTTTATGTGGGAATGTAACTGATAGGTCCCAATAAATACAAGATCAGTGCAGCAAATTCTGATGACCAGAATGAACTTTGACGCTCTCGCTGCCTTCAGTGTGAACGCACAGTCATAATAACTTCCAATTTCTTTTTAAAACAAAATTTAAAGGCAATTTTTTTGCATGATTAATGTGCTGTTTTGTACCATTTGAGAAAATTGGTTTTTAAATGTGATATAAAAAAATTTATATATTTCACAAATATACTGTTTTCATTTTGTCACTGTGCTACAGGCAAAAGAAAAAAAACAGGAAACATTTATTTAGTATTGAGTTTTTTCAACCTTTCTGGACCAGTCATTAGATCACTTGAACGGTGTATAATAATTGTAATTACACAATAAAACTGCACATAATAATGAAAAGACCATTTTAGCAATAAGTGACTCCGCTATTGACTCCCAAATACTATGATTTCTCTTTCCAAAATACATAAAAGGCAAATATTTGTGGATGTTTAAAGCCTTTTCTCTACCATCTGAGAACACTGGCATTGCAAATGTGATCATTTAAAATCGATCCATGTAATTTCACAAATATACTGTTTTCATTTTGTCACTGTGCTACAGGCAAAAGAAAAACAGGAAAATATTTATTTAGTATTGAGTTTTCTGAGCAACCCACTGTCATAAATCTACTGAGAAATGTTATCAACTCAAACTCAATTTTCACAATAAAAACTAGTTTCAAACCGTTTCACAGAGATAAAGGCAGCAGAGATGATGATAAACTCCAAAGAAAGATGTGTGTGTGTGTGTGTGTGTGTGTGTGTGTGTGTGTGTGTGTGTGTGTGTGTGTGTGTGTGTGTGTGTGTGTGTGTGTGTGTGTGTGTGTGTGTGTGTGTGTGTGTGTGTATTATATCATACACACAACGTGATGTAATGGGTATTAAAAATGAGTATTAGTATGAATAATATGAGCATATGAGTATTATAATTTTTTATTTATTATTTTGCAAATATGGTTTTATTAAGCTTTCATCCAGACTGACATGTAATCTAGTGATGTATTTTTAAGCATCTAATAGTGCAATACTGGTGTACAGCAGATATCTAAATTTCCAATAACTGAATATATAGTGATAATGAATTTCTACAATATTGATATCATAGACACTTCAAAACACTGTGAATAATTATTTATTCAGTATAATAATAGTGTATAGTGAATAATTTATTTAGTGTCATTTAATAATATCAATATTTTTGTATTAGTGTGCTGTTGAACATACAGCTTAATACGCAATTTACTTTAAAACATTAACATTTTTCCTTGTAAATCTGACCTAAGACATTGAATATTCTGTGAATATGTATAGGCCTTTGTTCTGGACACCGCACACTGAGATTCCATTTGTTAACAGTTAATTAAACAGAAGTACATGTAATGGAAACTACAAAAGCTTATAGTATTGATAGGTTGTTAGTTATTGCCTAATTACAATAAGTAATAGTCATTCAATTAAAATTAAGTTAATAATTAATACAACTCAGTTGCATTTCATTGATTTTAATGCATTAAATGACTTACTAATGATACATTAATGTATTGTATTGGACTCCCATTGATTTGTTTAAAGCATTTATTTAATATGAACATGTACACTATATATCATAAAGCAATACACTATTATTTTAGTTATTATTTTTGTCAAATTAATCTTTTTTGCAGCTTAGGTCAATAGTAGTATAAAAGTGTTAGCAACAAGAAAAATTGATAACTGCAGAAGCTTAATCTAAAATGTAAATGATTTCATGTATGAACTGCCGGGTCCCCATGCACTGAAATAGGAATAATTAGATTTAATTTTTCATTCATTTATTTCATTTGAAATGGTAACATTTTGTTGTGTTCTATGTGATTTCTGCTGTCTCCTTGTTTCTAAGGACTAAATAATGTTAAACAAGGCTACACTTTAAAAAAAAAAAAAAAAAAAAAAAAGATTTTTTTTTCAAAGTTTGGACTCCATATTCGGATTGTTTGGAACCTAGCCTTTGCCCTATCAAGCTAAAAGAAATATTGAAACTGTATTATGACCTGAAAATAAGCAATACTTTTTTCTGATCTGTTTTATTTGTGGTAGTCCGGTTTTATATATAATCTGAACTTTTTTTTCTTTGTTTTTTTTTTTCCTTTTTTGGTTTCTTTCCATTGTTTTGTGTTAATATTTTTCTTTGCATTTCTTTTAAAAATGTATTGCTAGGCCTTTATTATTGTGAAAATAAAATAAACATAATTTAAAAAAAAAAGAAAAAAAAATGATGGTGCTAAAATAAAATTGGCACCAGATGAAATAGAACAGATACAGCCATTCAGAAGCACAGTCTATACACTCACTCACGAAATGGTACGATTTATAATCTATTTAATACATATTAACCGTCTTTGACATTATTAAATTTACAGTTAAAGTCAAAATTATTAGCTTCCCTTTGAAATTGTTTTTCTTTTTTAAATATTTCCGAATGATGATACAGAGCGAGGACATTTTTATAGTACGTCTGATAATATTTTTTTTCTTCTGGAGAAAGTCTTATTTGTTTTATTTTATCTTGAATAAAAGCTGTTTTCATTTTTTTTAAAAAACCATTTTAAGGTCAAAATTTTTAGCCCCTTTAAGTTTTTTTTTTTTTTTCGATTGTCTACAGAACAAACCATCGTTATACAATAACTTGCCTAATTAACCAAACCTGCCTTTTTACCCAAATTAACCTAGTTAATCCTTTGAATGCTACTTTAAGTTTAATGCTACTTTAATTAAGTAAAATATTATTTACTGTCATCATGGCAAAGATAAGATAATATATTTATTAGAAATGAGTTATTAAAACTATTATGTTAAGAAATGTTTTAAAAAATCTCTCTGTTAAACAGAAATTGGAGGAAAAAAAACAGGGGCTAATAATTTAGGAGGGCTAATAATTCTGACTTCAACTGTACATGCTGAATCACGCAAATGTGTTTGTTCTAAAGTTCAATCTGCCAACCTGCGCTTGCGTTTGTTTTGATCCAGTAGTGTAATACCTGGTTAAACCACACTGTAAAAAATACATGATCAATTAGTCCTGACCGCATATATTTGTAGGTCATTGTAACTTATTAAACTAAGTTAATCGTGTTTTAACTTGATTTTATAAGTTACACAAGCTGTTTTAAGTCAATTTAACAAAATATAAGCTCAACGGACTCATAAGGTTAATTTGATTCAGCTTAAAAAATTAAGGCAACCATGCATGATTTTTTAATTCAATTGAATTCACCTTTATTTGTAAAGCACTTTTTAAAATGTAAATTGTGTCAAAGAAGCTTCACATAGAAGACCATAGTAAATTGTACAGTGCACCGGGTGCCAAACTTACATACTACACCTTTAACTGTGAATCAAATGCTCTCATCTATTTCGTCAAAGATTGTGACCACCATATATTTAGGGAGACAATTTATTTAATAATATATATATTATTAAATAAATAATATATTTTTATTTATTTATTTAATAAATAAAAATATATTTTTATTATTTTATTTTTATTTATTCTATTTTTTCCCCTTTAATACCTTTATCTCGTCAGGATTTAATAAATAAATCAAAGATGACAGTTGAAGACACTTATTATGCTATATCAGTTTTCTGTTCTCTTTCATATGAATGAGACATGTTCTTTTGAACCTCTTTTGAACTTTTTCCAAGAAACATGAATAACTTCTGAAGGATCATGAGAGTATGCAATTTCAACATATCATCTGTAATGTTCCTTGTATTATTTTTAAAACTAAATTCTCCTAAATGTACTGTATATTCACAATTTCTGAAAGAAATGCATATTCTAACACAAAATACCCTCAAATATCGTCTTTCACTTATTCTCAACAGATTTGCTCAAACTCAAACACCTAAATGAGTTTGGAAGACGTGATAAATTATTACTGAATTTTTAGAGAACTATCCCTTTAATGGTTCTGGTTAAATGACAGCAGCAGACAAAAAAAGACTGACGGTAATATGCGATACAGATGGACAAACAGACCCATCACAGTTTGGTAGGCAAAGAAAACAATGCCATATTCAATGTCACTTCAGTTTCCAAAGCCAAGTATTTTAATCAGCGTAAAAGCATATATGTACCAGATGTAACCTGGTGGATTGTCATTCTGTTTTTATCCATGTGGTCTCAAGCCAAAAAGACTTTCCCACATGGAAGCTCACTGCAACAAAAATCCCACTCCTAGCTCACACAGACCAAGAATAAGCAGCAAAAAATAGGTTGAAATTATCTACAACACAAAGCTCTGCGCTTAGTGGCTGGAGCTGAATTAATTGCAGGAACTCTTCAAAGAACAGTAATGAGGTGCAGAAGGTTCCTGGTCAATATGAGAACTTACCTTCACACAAAAAGAAACGAGACTCTCCGACGCTGATCTCGCCGTGCGCAGGTGTAATATCGACCTGCAGAGAAACTGAAGAGAAAGAAAAGTATTAAGATTAAAGAACACATCAAGCAAACCCACTGAAGTTATTCCACACAAAAAAATCCTACTCTCAAAACTTTTCAAACCGTTATTTCTCCACATGCATAATTCAGCACTCTCTGATAGCACTTTTCATTAATTCCACACAAGCAGCTGATCTCTCCAATTTCATAAGCGCACGGGTAACTATGGAAACCCCTCTGACACGAGCTCTTCAGATAAACAACAGTGCATCATTTTGATCCGACTAAATGAGAGGCGACAACAGACAGTGAAGCTAACAAGCTCATTGTCAACTCGGCCATTTCACCTCCTTAAGAGTTTTGCAGGATCATTTATTGCCTTATTGCCTCCGCATATTCAGCACAATGTCACCAACGCACCCCATTACGCTGAGATTTATCTCTGAGAAACTCCCAATCCCCTCTTAAACTCATTCGAAGGTAGGCTAAACAGGCTGTTTGCTTTTTGAAAAACAATGCGTCTTGCTGCTTTATCTTCAGAAACTCATAGGAATGGAAAGAGTAAAACAGGTCGATTTGTTTCAATCGAGGAAATGTAAAACCAAGGGCTTGGGCGTAAACTTTAAAGAGGCCGTTGCTCATTTCTCATTCATATGTCGGAGCACTTGGGATGTTTGGGAAATGAGTAAAGACAAAGAGAGCAGACCGAAGACAAAATTGATCCGCTCACAGATGGTGGCCTTTAGTCTTCCAGGTAATTTAATAAATGGACAAAGCCAGAAGAGGGTAAACCTCAATTAAATCAGCATATTCAATCGATACTATTGGATGTTTGTTGTTCTTGGTGGAAGGGCCATCTATTCCGTGTGCCTTCTCACATTTATATTCTTTATTTAGATAAAAGAGTAACTTTTATTCTGCAAATTTGGTAAATCGACCAACTTTGGGACTGGCATGAAAAGGCTTAAGTTCTGCCGAGGACAGGACTTTAAATTAATTAGCCTCTCATTAGTAGGGCATGCTGGGAGATGCATGGTGACACTGAAGCTGTGTGCGGAATGGTCACAGACCTCTAATCTCTGAGGGCCCTGCTTGAATTCGCTTTGAAGAATTACAAGAACAATGCTGCCCACGGTGACCCGTTTTGCTCAACTAAAGACAGATTTGGCTTCTATGTTCTAACCAAAAGCATTTTAGGAAAGGAAATTTATTTATGCTTGGAACCTATGCTTGAAAGTTACTTTCAGTACAGAGAAGCTGCAAAAAAATTATTGCTCGCAACCATTTAGGTCGAAAAGACAAATGCAGTTGAAACCAGGAGTTTACATACACTGTATTTAAAGGCACATAACCATTTAAAAAAAAAGTCAGATGTTGATGTGACTAAACTCTTTCTCTTTTAGGTAAGTTAACATTATCAAATTTGTCTCTGTTATAATTAATAGCAGAATAATTTTTTTAATTTGTGAGAAATTGTTATAACTTTTCTTGAAAGTGAAGTTTACATATAATAAGATTTTTATGCTTCTGAAAAAGCTCAGATGATGGTGTCAAGGTTTTGGAAGTTTTCTGATTGGTTAACTGACAACATTTGAGTTAATTGGAGGCACAACTGTAGAAGAGTATTTAAGGAAAACCTCAAACACACGACTTACTTGTGTGACAACATGGGAAAATCAACAAGCCAGAATCAACAAAAAAAGCCAGACTGCAATTTGCTAAATTACACTGGGAAAAGAATAATTTTGAAGACATGTCCTGTGGTCTGATGGAACTAAGATTGAACTGTTTGGCCATAATGGCCAGTGTTCCACTTGGAGGACAAAGGGAAAAGCTTACAAGCCTAGGACCACCATCCCAACTGTGAAGTATGGGGGCAGCAGCATCATGTTGTGGGGCTGTTTTGCTGCAAGATGGACTGGTCCACTTCACAGCATAGATGCCATCATGAAAAAAGAACATTATGTAGAAATACTGAAGCAACATCTCAAGATGTCAGCTAGGAAATTAAAACTTGGCCACAAACGGGTGTTCCAATTGGACCATGACCCTAAGCATACTGCCAAATTAGTTAAAATGTACTTTAAGGACAACAGAGTGAATGTTTTGCAGTGGCCATCACAAAACCCTGAGCTCAATCCTATAGAAAGTTTGTGGGCAGAGTTGAAAAAGCTTGTGCGAGCAAGACAGTTTACAAATCTAACTCAGTTACATTACACCTATTATGTCAGGAGGAATAGGCCACAATTCCATCAAACTATTGTGAGGAACTTGTGGAAGGATACCCAAAACATTTGACCAAAGTCATGCAGTTTAAAAGCAAAGATAAAAAAATACAAAGGAAATGTGTATAAACTTTTGACTGTCTATAATTTTTTTTTTTAATTCTCCAAAAAATTATCTCATTATTTTGGCATCTAGCACATGTAAATGATTTAGGTAATCCTAATGGACCTAAAATAGTAAATGTTTAGTATGAATTATCATCAGACATAAAAAAAATAAAATAAAAAAAAATGTTATGTTCCTTTTTTTAAAGTGCATGTAAGTTTCTGGGTTTTAACTGTATGTTAAAGAGCACCTATGATGAAAATCATCTTTTGGGAGCTGTTTGGACAGAACTGTGTGTAGATACAGTGTGTCCACAGTCACATCGGGGTGATATAAAGACAATAAGTCTCTTTTTTTAATTTCCTGATGTTAAAACAGGATCCAAATGGCTCCCATTTTGAGGCCAACTGCAACGTGACGTAGGAGTGCAGTGTCCCCGCCCACCAAACTGATTGACAGCAGCATATTACCATGTCTCTGTAGTAATGCATATAATCATATCAACAAGACAGGTGATGCGCAAAGCAACCGGGATTAAAAAATCTCTTGAGTTCTCTGTGGTCATCAATCATCATCAAATTTGACAATGTTTTACAAGTTCAAAACAATGCATGTTTTTAATGAATTACAGTGTTTTTACCATGTTTACTTTATCACCAAAACTGCATGCCAGTATAATTATAAAGGAAGATGGTTCAATCCAGGTTTTAGGACATTAAATCATGTTTGTTTTGTACATTAATATAACCGATATCCATACAGCAGTAGAAATTAACATGTTTGTCACATTTGCCGTGCTGTGTGTGTGTGTTAACTTTGTAACAACATTGTGTGTGACAAAATGGCTTGAATTATCTCCACAACAAATACATTAAATAATCACTGGTATGCTTTATACTGTAGTATTTCTCACAAACGCTATGTGAGATCTGCTTCCTTCATGTCTGTCACTGCGCTGTTTATCTGATACAGCCGAGGTGGAGATTGAGGCACACTCTGACAGGCACATGGGAACGATGGGCGGTAAATTTTCTAAAAGGTATAATAAATTATCAGATGGGTGTTTTGAGCTGAAACTTTACATACAAATTCTAGAGACACAAACGATTTATCTTAAATCGTGAACAAGGGGTAAAAAAGGTGGCCTTTAAGACATGAAAACTTACATAAACAGATAAGTGAAACCTACTGATCGCCGACTGGGGTCGTTCAATTAGAATGAGGTAATAAGGATAAGATAAGCTATACTTGGCTGCACAGTAGCACATAATCTATAAAATATAGATATCTATAAAATTGTTGTAGTGTTACACTGTAAAAAATGCTGGGCTCCACACAAGTGATTTGAGTTGGGACAACATGAAGGAATTTTACAAATTTAAGTGGATGGAAAGTAAAACTTTTTTTAGATTGTCCCAAAAAAACGTATTTTGTATAAGTAGTTTAAAAAAAACACCAAACATCATTTTTTTGAGTATAGAAACAATAGCTTCATACAAGCAAATTAGAATTTATTGGACTACAAGCAGAAGCCCATGTGAGTACAGAAAAGCATTACAGTATATTTCAGTTACCATTTTATTTTGATGGCTCGCTGCTGGTGATATGACAGAAATCTCATATCACAATATGTCATCTCATATCCTGATAACCATACATTGCATATATAGTTACTTTTCTGCAAATTCAATCGGTTTGGATGTATAGTTCACTGAAAATGAAAATTCTGTCATGATTTACTCACACTTCACTTGTTCCAAACCTGTCTGAGTTGCTTTCTTCTGCTGAACACACACACGCACACACAAACACACACAAACACACACACACACACACACACACAAAAGATGTACTGAAGAATGTTAGAAAGTATAGCAGCAGCCATTGACTTCCATGGTCTTTTATGTTCCTTCTATAGTTCCTTTGATGGCTGCTTGTTTCCAACTTCCTTCGGAATATCTTGTTTCAACTAAAGAAAGAAATTCATAGAAGTTTATAACACTGTGAGTGTGATTAAATGGTGACGAAATGTTCATTTTTGAGTGAACTATCTTTTATTAAGTACTCAAAAATCTACTCATTAATATGTGATTATTTTTCTCTTTTAATTCAGATCTTCCAGGCATATGTTTGATTAAGAACGTAGACATATAAAATAACTAATACAATATATAACACTTCAAAAACTATTACAGGCCCAACATAAAACATTGCTCAATAAAATGCAACATTTAAACATTGTACTTTCAAGCTTAAACTTTTCTAGTCATGATGTTATTCATGTTTCTGCCTTCATGTTCATGGTTGTGCATATGTTTATCCAAATGATGGAAAAGTACTGCGATAAAGCACTAAATAATCAGGGGTTACCACAGCAGAGTGAACCGCCAACCTATCCAGCATATGTTTTACACCAGGGATGTCCAAACTCGGTCCTAGAGGACCAGTGTCCTGCATATTTTAGCTCCAACCCCAATTAAACACATGGAACCAGCTAATCAAGCTCTTTCTAGGTATACAGGGAGGTATATTGAGAGAAGTTGAAGTTAAACTATGCAGGACACCGGCCCTCCAGGACTGAGTTTGGACACCCCTGTTTTACACAGTGGATGCCCTTCTATCTGCAACCCCGTACTGGGAAACACCCCACTGACTGATTGTGTGTAGACTGACTGTTCATCATCTAAATGTTTG